CATGTGCAGATGGGTGAGGGCAAAATTCATCCCTATTCATCAACTGGGAATAAATTGAAGAACAGGGAATAAATGTAGAAGTGTTATCAATGCAAACTGGTTGAAGGGAAATATTTGGGATCCATTTAAGATTAAGCAAGCTGTCAATTGGAGAAGAGGCTACTTCATGTGTTTGTGTTACCTATTCACTTCCTTATTTCTCAATGTACATCATCCCCTGAATCTTACTATTGACTATTTTTGATTTGTATGTGATTTATGTTATAGGAACACTCCTCTTCCCCCTCTCCTTCAGAAAATACAAACCCCACAGCAGGTATTTCTGGATGTTCCTGAGATGCTCTTAATGACACTCTTATTAAATATATGCTTTCATAGGAAAAGTAGTTGCAGCTCATGCACTAAGCTGGATTTCAAGAGACTCAATTTTCATTTCCAGCTCTGACCATTTCCTCCCATAGCTATACACAAATGGATCAGTCTTCTCATGCCTCTTTTTCCACCTGTGAGATAAGGTTGGTCTATCTTACCTACACTCTGCTCTTTCGAACTGATGCTCTGTCGTGCTGTGGACTGACCCGTGTTACAAAGATTGGGCTGGTGTATTTGTGTCAGCAAAGCTCCTTTACATCATCATCCTTTTGATGAAACTTTACATCGTCAGTGTGTCTCTTTGCTAGCAGTAGCATCTGGACTTAAGTTCCCATATCTAATTAAAAAAAGGAGAGCATGGTGGAAAAGAAGCTTTCTAATTTTTTTACCATAAGATAAACAGGAGATTGGCTTATTAAGGGGGTTAAGGGTTGGAGTTTCTGATGGGTGACAAATGCCCAGTGATAAGTTGAAATTCTCCATGTCCAAGCAAAGAACATTTACTCCCTAGATCTCTACCCGCAGTAAATGGGTGCTGGTCTAATTGTTAACTTAATAAACCATAAGTATTGCTATAAACATTTTTTTCTCCCTTTCTCAGCTGTGCTGATCAAGGTTTTTTTCTGCTGAGACCAGTTTTCTTTTAAGTTATCATTTCTTCCTGTTTCTAATGCTCTTCGTATCCTAGCTGATCTGGAAAGATGATGTTGTCACTAGGATTTCACAGCAACTTCTGTGAAGCTTCATGTGGGTTTCTGACACTCTTTGATTTGATGAGGCTTAAAAAAGAAGCAATGTGCTTCCCTCCTTTAAAAGAAAACATTCTATACCCAGGTTTCATTTTTTAAAAAACTTTGTTTGGAAAATATCTCATTCATGAGCATGACGGAAAGTGCTGGGACTGTAGGCATGACCAGCTGGTCTGAGTGTGAAAACTTGAGACCAGCTTTGAAAGGAGCAAACATGCTCCCTGCTCGAGCGTTTTTTGTCATTAGTCGTTTTTTTTGTTAATGAATCACAATTATCTAGAGTTCTACAAAACGTGCAAAACCTATTAGTCTTTCAGTTCCTTTTTATAGCGAGGCTTTTGTGGGATAGTCACAGTATCTTCCTTGGTTTGTGATACAGATGATGTAGTGTCTTTACAGTATTTGCTGAGGCTGATGTAGAATTGCTGAGGCTGATGTATCTCAAATGCTTTCCATGCCTAAAAATGGCCTTGTTTGTAAGAGCAGCAGCTCCTGCGTTGTGTCAACATGGTACTGCTATGCAGAGCTCCTTTAGGAACAAGAAGTGTAAGTGCTATGGCTGAAGACCACCTCTCACCTGATAGTGAGGTGGAGCATATGCCCTTGAAGGTGACAGGTCTTCCTGACAGTGCATTAAGCCATATCACATGGCCATTAGTGCAGTCCATATGAACTGTCCTTCATTTCTACATTTGTAGAGGCTTCTGGTCTTGAATTGGTGTTGCAACTTCTGTTCTGGGAAACTCCCCTATGAAGAAAGGCTGAGAGAGCTGGGACTGCTCAGCCTGGAGAAGAGAAGGCTCAGGGATCTTATCAATATATATAAATACCTGAAGGGAGAGTGCTTTTTTCAGTGGTGCCCAGTGACAGGACCAGAGGCAATGGGCACAAACTGAAACACCGGAGTTTCCCTCTGAACATCAGAAAACACTTTCTGACTGTGAGGGTGACTGAGCCCTGGCACAGGTTGCCCAGGAAGGTTGTAGAGTCTCCACCCTTGGAGATATTCAAAAGCCATCTGGTCATGGTCATGGCAACTGGCCACAGGTGGCCCTGCTTGAGCAGAGGGATTGGACCAGATGACCTCCAGAGGTTCCTTCCAACCTCAACTATTCTGTGATTCTGTGAAAATTGTGCAGAGAGCTTCTTTAATGTCTAACTGGAAGTCATAACCCTGGCCAAGCTACCTGGTACAAAATAAACTTAGTTTGCATGGTGTGTAGGTTCCCATGTCTCTAGAAGAGCTTCTGGCCTTTGTCATGTGAACTGTATGTCCACACCACTGCTTCTGGGCCTTTATTAAAAATGATGCAGTGGACATTCTGTCAATAAAAGCTGTAGGCGTTCTTCATCAGTCAGCTTAGTGCGCCACGTTAATGGACCTTAAGTGCGTGAGGTAGAAGCAGAGGTCTGTCTAGTACAGTATTGTCTTCAACAGTGATCGGTTGTGTTGGATAGAGACATCATCGCCCGACGCTTGGTATCATGAGATCCTCTGGCAGTTCAGTTAAAAGCCAATATCCTCCCTCTATTCCCTTTTTCTTCAAATCTTCTGTGTGCATTGAATAGCAGAGGCCCCAGCACAGATCCTTAGAACTTCACTGGTGGCCGCTTGTCCTTGTAAAAAGCTATGGCTTCTTTCTGCTCTTTGTTTCCTATTCGAATCAGTTATCAGTCCATGCAAAAGCCTTTCTTTGTAGCCAAAAGCATCTTAGTTTGCATTAGAACTTTGAAATGGTCCCTCACTAAAAACCTTCATACAAATCCACGTATAATGAATAACCTCAAAGATTTTATATATGAAAGATAATTTTCTGCTACAAAAGCTGCGTTGACTCTTCCTGAAGCCATGAAGCAAGGCAATAATTGACACCAAGAACAATTATATCTTCATCTTTACATGGTGTTTTTCGAGGGATGGTCAACAGTGTATATTTGCCTTGTAGATATGGCAGGATTCAAGTGTTCTGGCTGCAGTGACCATCTCTGAGATGGCTGGAGTAGGCATGTGCTGTGGCTGAAATGCATCACTGACGACGTCTGGGGTATATGTGGCTCTAGTGGGCACATTTTGGGCAGTGAAGCCAGCAGGGGAATGTAATGTCATGAGCCTGCCAGGGGTTACATGACTTAATTTTATGCAGGTCACAGGTTCCACTAGTTCTGCTAGACTTACTCTCGCATATAAAGTTAAACACGTGCTTTGTGTGTTTGAAGAATTGCTGCCTAAGGCAGATATGCTAACATGGAAACAGCTGATAACATTCTTTAGGAATGCTTGCTGCTTGAGCCTGAGAAGCATGTGGCCTGGATGGAGCTGTAATGCAGATGGCTTTTGTTACCAGCTGACTTGAAAAGCAAAAGCACAGAAGTTGGATTTGTTTTCTATTTAGCAAACAGCTTTTGACTGGATCCGGTGTATTCACAGATTCCCGTTTGTTGCTTTTCTATCCGTTGCAAAGGGAGCAAGGATTTCTAGGCTTTGAAAATCTTGTAATGTCTAGAAGCTGGATATGTGTTGATGCAATGAAATCCATTCAGCAAATAAACATCTGTAGCAGAAGTGGATTTCCGGTGCTGCTGACCCATCCTCATAAGGAATATCTGAATGAAAGAGAGTTTTAGAATAAAATATAAACAGAAAATGCTGGTGAGGTGAGGGGGTTTGTGGGTTTTGGTTGCTTTTTTTTTTTTCTCTGCAGGTTTTGGCAATATTGGCAAGCAGTTCTTTCTGGGTGGTATGTTCTTATGTTCTCCACTTGGTCTTTGACCCCTCTGAAAGTGGGAACAGATGTAATGCAAACTGTGGAGTGGACAAGCTGTCCCCTGGGAGTTGACTGAAAACTGCAAACCCTTCTGCTAAATGAGCTCTTAGCATTGTCTTGGGACAAATTTGTTTGCAGAACTGTATTGAAATCAGTAAGATTACAACTGCAGAGGTTCCTTCTGGAGTTAAAAAACATGCTCCAAAATTGTGTATCCCACAGCATGCTCAAGCATTCACATTTACAGTTGCTTCTGAGCGAGATACAGTGAATGCCATCTAATGAACATACAGCCGTAACACTGGATTTCATGTGGTGATTCATCTGCATAAAGGATGTCTGGATGAAGGAGAGAATTTGTAAATAAAATACATGTACAGATTTATTTCAGTATTTTTCTCTCATCTCCAAGAAAGTTATTGCCGGAGGGAAATGAAGGAAATGTGCAGCACCTTTAAAAACCAAAGACTGAAATGGTGGGCATGCAGTTTAAGTGATTAGAGATTGTTTGATGTAGTAGACGTTAATGTGCGGGGAAGAGAGAGTTTTCTGTCTTGGCCTGTCAGTGCTAAAGGATTTGCTAAGTGAGATTTGACACGTAATTCCTCTTCAGATGGTAAAAAAAAAAAAAGACCCCCCCACCCCCCCCCCCCTCCCCCCCCCAAAAAAAAAAAACCCCACATACACAAAAAAAAACCCCAAAATAACCCCCAAAAAACCCCAACCCATGCTGTGAACATCTAATCCTCACTGCAGGGCACTTTTTCTGCTCCATTATCTGCTTGGGCAGATTTACCTCATGATACCATTTCAGGCAATTGAAGTGAAAGTGCCCTCCTGTAAAGTGGCTCAGATGCCCAAGAAGCTGAGTGCTGAGACAGAAGCTGGATTTTTTTGGGAAGGTGCTGGAGACAGAAGTGCTGCTTTATAGGGCAGAGGAAGCCTTTAATTTCTCCACACTTGCAAATGAAACTTATGAAGATCCTTCCACTGAATGCTAAAAGTACTTGACTATTCAGTTACAGCCAGGCTGCCAGGAAAATTAGTGAGTTTAAAGTGTGAGCTGTTGTAATAGCTTTGGTAAACCCTCCTGTGGGTGCTCACATTGTTTGAGATGCAGCTGGTGGGGGAGATGGTGTCTCCTTGCCCTGCTCCCTCTGTGTCTCTGGCATCATCGCTCTGAACTGGGACACTGGACCTGGAGCAGAGCCTCTTCTGATGGAGAACCCTCCTTCTCCATGGTGGTTCACCTGAATATTATCTGCATTCTGTCTTCTAAAGTCCTGGTTACTGACATTGG